TAATGAGTAATAATTAACACGTATTCGTCAACCCACGATATTGTCTTACGCCTCATTAAACTGTTATTTTAAATGTTAGTTGACAAAATTAATTTTACCATGCTTGTGCTAAATCCTTCATTCATTTTGTGAAAGATTTATATGTACACCAAATTGTTTGTTAGGTGCTTCCTTGATTCAAACCGTCAATCCTTAATTTTATTGTATCAACACCAGAACATATAATATTGTCCAAAATGAGCGGTAGGAATGTTAAACACGCATTTTATTCGATTCTCAGATTTTATCAAAAAGAGAAACCGGTGAGAGAAACTTATAGTGCTTTTTTTGGTGTTCTAAGTTAATTTTCGCCGTTTTCTTATTCTCGTATTATTAATGGTAATAAAAACCAAATCCCGTAACCTTCATATAAACTTTTAAACATGTACTTAGTATAGCAAATATGATTTTTGTAAAAAACTGTTAAAGGTTGTAAATAAAATGAACGGTACTCCGTAATATCGATTTTAAATTAAAAATACAATACAATAAATTATTTAAAAATAATTATAGAGGTTCAAATCGGCAGTCTTCCGGAAGGCTTTAGGTAAACCGGTAATTTTTAATTCTACTCATGTGACCTATATCACTAGAAATTAGCATTTATTTAAATAGATGAGGTCACTTATTCCGGAAATTTTGTTTCTTATTTATAATCCAGTTGTCTACCAGGTGCTTCCCAGAGTGCTTCCCTCGATTTTATTACACGACGTAATAAAAGTTCTCCACTTTGATGACCTCACAGTTCATTGTTTGTATTTTATTTAGCAGAGCAAACGAGACAATAGTATCGGAAAAAAAATCAAAATTTAAAACGTTAAAATCTTTGTAACTTCTACCCTCTGCGCATCTGTCCTTGTCTGTCATTAAAGTTAAAAAACTGTTTAAGCCAACACCTTCACCATTAAGTTTTAGTAACTTCTTAATCGATTTTTAAACCATTCCGTATTCATATTTTTGAAGCGACACCTGCTAGGCAATGTACGGGTAAAAATTCACCGCTAGATCCTTAATTAGCGCATGTATCACCAACAAAAAATCGAACTAGGCCATCTAATTGGCAGTTGTTTCTGAAACTTGCAAATAGGGTGTAAAGAACAGGTGAAGTTTTGCAAGTAAACATTTGCCAGTTTTGCATATCCACCGCCAGCATCTGTTGTGCGAAAAACAGCGACGGAAAAACTCGTCGTTGTCATCCTTGAATGAAGAAAGTGCCTCAACAATGAGCTCTGGGAGAGTTTAACGCACTTCGTCACGCCTTGTTGGTGTGGATTTTGCATCGCATCTGGGCCACTGGTCCAAAATAAATAATGCTTTTATTAAACAATGCGAGAGACAACGCACCCGCTATTTTTGCGAAGAGGAATCGTTGGAGAGGTGCCATGGAGTCATATTTTCGACGGTGTTTGCGAGTTGTCGAGAAAGCGGTCGTTGTAAAACAGGTTCTTGTTTGCTTGTTCATTGAGTAATCGACGATTATGAAGACGGCAAATATTACACGTCTTTGGAGGTTCGAGTCTTGGCCAATCTGCTCGAAAAATCTTAGCGCTTCTCGGAAAACAAGTGCGAGAACAAACGTAACCTTCACGGACCAAGAGTCCGGCTATCTGGTTCTGCAATAACAGGAACTTCCATGTGCTTAATTACCTAGTTACCAAGTTAGAGAAAAAGCCAGTGATTACGGCTGGCAGAACGACTAATCAAATTGCGAGAAACTGTGGGGATTTGTCAACAGAGCAATGTAGAAATTATTATAAAAGTTCTCTAGACAACTTCGTGCCAACAAGTTTTTACTCTTGACCTTGACTCTACTACAAAACATTGCTAAATAATACCTACACAGTCATAGTGGAGCTTAGATTTACAAGTTGTCGTAAAAGTTTAAAGGAGTGTCTACGAAAATTGTACCTAATTATGTCTTTACAAACATAAAATTCATGGGAGTTATACGGTAATGGTATACGTATTCACAATGTTATACTTACAATTATACTTTTGTGTTCGCAAATACTGAAAATTGGAGAAAATAAAATACCTGCTTATTACTGTTAGCTCAGCTGCACTATCATCCAATTCACTAGCTCATAGAAAATTAAAAATGTTGAAACGCCGCTATTTAGTTTTATAGTTGAAACTATATCTATTACTGGCTGTGATGTTACTTTTGAGGGTCTTTGTTGACTTTACACATTCGATTACGTTAACTATGAATTATTGAGGAAATCAGAACTGCACAGTATCAGGGATATTTCGATGAAATGGTTTACCTCGCACCAGGTCTGTTGCTAGAGAACACTTCAGACGTTCGAAATATTTACCGGGCCATACTTCAAGGGTGCACTTTAGAACCCACGTTTTATATAATTTATATTAATGACCTTCTATTTATCAAACTTATCAAACAAAAACTCTATTGGACATTCGTAGGATGACAAAAGGAATAACACAGATTTATGTTATGTTAAAATATTGTATTATATAAATCACAGAAGTAAAATTAATTTTAATGAAGTACTACTTTGAGAGAGAAAATTCTTACCAAATATATTCATTACGTGATTGTGTCCTATAAAGAACAATGTGTTTTTTACAGTACAACATACATTTTATATACAAACGAGTAAAAGTTCATTGGTTATATGAAATTTTACTTGCAACCATTTGGCGAGACCTGGCTTCTTCGCAAATCGTTTACTTTGGAAATGCTTTAACATAAATTTTTCCAGTTTGCGATATTTTCGTATTGAGTACACGAAATAAAAGATTAGTCTATTTATGGACCCCTATTTTTCACACACATTCAGACTGTCTCATGCTGGGTAATAACGAAATTCCATTATAAAAATAGAAGAGAATTATTATGAAACATTTCATTAGCAATATATTTATGAGTAATTTTTGGGAAAAGTAGATCTTTCGTTTTTTTTATCTATGTCCCCGACAATGAAGATAGTAAACTGAGAACAAATTGATAGCCGATGATTAAATGTCACGTTGGGTTTTACATTAGATGAACGTTAGAAGAATTAATTATCTCTTACAATTAGTTTTATTTTTCGCTTAACTGCCTTAATTTAAAATTCATTTCAATTGGCCTTTAATTGTGAAAGCGATTGTTATACCCTCCGCCAGACATTAGTTATGGCAGGAAAGTTTTTCCACTCTACTCGCTAACCATTTAAGGTTTATTTAAATTTAAGAATCTTAGAGTAAACATGGGTATATTGTTTTTACCGAACAATTAATTTGAGACTCGTAAGATTAAAATTGTGCAAGTGTCAAAGTCCTGTGGATTATACTGTATTAAACCATAGGCGTTTTTGCATAACGAATACATTAACACATGTGGTGGCATACTGTGTTGTGTTTCTTGTTATACAAATACCGCAATAATTACTCAAAATTTATTTATTTATTTTTTTATTATTTTATATTTATATTCCATGTACATATTTATTTAATACCTTGCTACAAGTATATTCATGTTGGTATAAAATATCTCTGTTGACATACCAACTCAAAAATCATACCAAATTTAAAATAATGTTGCCATCCATGCTGAGTCTTGTGCGTTCCAAAATTTGATTTCAAGCAGAGAGTCGTGTATAGATGAGCTTTTATTATAAAGTTAAAAAAAAAAAATAAGTATCTCTAATTGTTTTCAAAATCTACTTGCTTACGTGTAATGTAAAAAAGTGCGGAAATTTTTTAGGTGGAAAATGAAGGTGCAAATATAAATCAACATAGTTAACATATTATAAATAAGTTATTTTAATTTTTATTAATTTATTGTGTCTGTAGATAAGATGCTTTAAATGTGAGCAAGTCAGGCAAAAGCAGAAATATATTACTTTTTACATAAAAATTAGACCAGAAAAATTTAAACAATTCACTAAAATTGTCGGAAAAAATCCCGAAGATTTCATCTATGTTGACAATGACATTTTGAAAGTTGCAGGAAACTTTCAAGACTGCTTGCGTATAAATTATCATACGAAAAAAGCGTGCGCCTTACGAAACGTACTTTCACGCAAGCTTGAAATGTTTTCCTTTTCTTAGCTAATTACATAAATTTATTACTAACACGGAGTTTCAAAATGTGACTTATCGAATTCCATCAGATTTTTCTAGCTCGGAAAAAAGACAGAACAAATGCGGCGACATTGTACTTGTTTCTGACTAATTAATCTCCAAAAATTGCAGTGCGCCGATTGCGTAAGTTCATTCGAATTATTACATCGCGATTTCCTTTAATTTTAAAAATCGAAAGTAAATTGTATTTGACTGTTACTTCACTAAATAAATACTGGTTCGATGACTTTCTCTTCGCGTTTAATCCACGATCCACGTAGGTTTCTATTTTCGAAATGACAACCACACAAAACAACAGCTTTTTTCCTATTGCCTCTTCGAATTAGTAAAAGAACACGAATTGGATTAGCACGTGATAGTGACGTTGATGGTGCAACAAAATATTCGTAACAAATATCAACGGTAAACATTAACACATTTAATTACGGAAATTAAATTTAATTTCCTTTTGTGCTGGCAAAATTGCTATTTATTGTGTTGGTTGGGCACGAAGTGCACATCGTAGTCGTCTTTAAATACAATTATTACGTATGTACATCCTTGTAGGAAGCCGGTACGACAAAAAAACAATACAAATAATTATTATTACATAAGGACGCTCTTTCCATAATTGATAACAAACAAATTAATCGCCTAAAAATAGTTGGCCCAAATTTTACCCGTCCGTCAATTTGGAGGAATGAGTCATCTATATGAACTCTAATGATTGTTGCTGATTTCAAGTGCATTTGCGTCAGAACCTACAATTCTGTTCATTATCAAATGAACTAAGACCTCTATATTTCAAACGTTCCTTATCTTAATGATTCAACAATTCATAACTTTATTGCTGTAGCACTGTTATTGTTATAATAAAATAAAGCTCGGAATTTAACGTGTTTGTAAGGTGCTTGTGATACATGTACTGTGAAGTAAACAGATTTTATTACACTGACCGTTACCGTAGGTATTTTTTTGGCTTTTAGAATTTTTACTTTATTTCGAAGTTAAGTACTTTGACTTTGGCCTTAAATAAGTTGAATACGTACGAGTCACTGAAGCTGAAAATTATTTCCTTGTATCTTCGCGACCCTGACCTTTTAACCCGGTTTGAATAGCATATTCATTGCATTCTTTTTTCTTGCAGTTTCACTAGTGGTTACATCAGTGCGAGTACTTTTTCTGTGGTTTCTTATCTAAATTTTTCTCAGAATGAAGTAAACTGTCTAATGCTTCACGCAGATGAAAGGTACCTCAAACTTTTATTTTTATTTAACTATTAGTGATTGGAACTCCGTGTCGTGCATTTTACGGTATATCTAGTAGAAATTTTTCATGGTGACTCACAATTGGTCGTACAACTACATATTTAAACATTATAATATATGTAGGTGCATGGATGTTCTTGTCCAAGGTTGTTCCAGTGGTTGATTCTGATTAGTACTCACTTTAGTACCAACACAACATTCTGAAGGGTATTCTTCCTGTAGATTATTTATTTGAAAGTCTATTGAAACTCAAAAGTAAAAGAATAAAGAAAGGTTAGTGACAAATTAATTTTTAATCGAAGGGTAAGTTTAATTTTTCTCCGTGCATGAAAGATTTTTTATTGAGTTTTGTTTATTTTTTTTTTTTTCACTTGTATTTAAAACACTGTGGATCAAAAACTGCACAGCACTCACACTAGTCGCAGTTCATTCCACAATGATAGTACAATTTTGAAAGAGACACGTCAGTTTTTGTCCCACTTACAAGTACATTTTTCCGTTATATGTACACGTTGAGGAGTGTTTTATTCTTATTAGAATTTATTTTGCTAAAGAGTTACGAAGATTTAATTGTTTGCACATCACGATGTTAAATTTACTCTTCAGAAAAAAAGAAAATGTATGTGAAACATGGTAAGAAATTTATTAATGTCCCATCCGCGGAAAAATGTGCCCGTATTTTATTTTTCGCTCTAGATAGGCAATTAATAGTTATTTATGTAACTAAAGTGAAAACTGAAACAATAAGCGCGAATTCGAAAATATCGAAGCGAAGCGAACCTGAGCTTTGAAAAAATTCAAACGAGTGAATCAAGAGATTTTTCGCTACTGTTGCATACAACATTTGTCCTATGGCTGCTACTGCAACAAAAATAAGAATAGATACAAAACTGACCACAACATATTACTAGGTACAATATTTTTTATTTATACATATTTGTAGTAAAACATAATTTTCTGCCAGTGTTGGTAACTTCCAGTTACCATTTTTTTTAGCTGTTGCAGATTTTCCTTTCCTCAACGTTGCATATTTTTGTAAACTCCTATAAAGCCCACCTTATCATCAGTGACCACTAAAATTTCTGGTTGTGTGAATTTTGGTGTCAGGAATTTTAACGATTAAAATGGACTGTCAGAATAATGTTTAAACTAAATAACCAAAATGTCAAAATGAATTTTATTTGATTGATACATGTCATGGATAGTACCGTTTTGTCACAAATCTTGTAATCAAGATGGTTTGTGGGTTTGAACAGTGTGAAATTTAAGAAAGGTTTCGACGTTTCGCCCTCTTTTGTAAGGTTTGTGGACTTCATATTTTTTTTATTTTTCATTAAAAATCGATTGACAATTAGTAAACAGCTTATAACTTTATCGTCTTTTGACTTTGTCGGTAGGTAGATTTTTCATCAATCAAAACATCCATTTTCACTCTTTGTTACAAACAACCTACCAGAAATTACTTTGAAGTACTTTGAAAATTACTATTTTCAAAAAACAGCAAATTTGACTGAGCTGTTGGCTAGGTTACTATTCTACTCTACAAATATATGTATGATTGTGAAAATCCATTATTTATGTGTTATTTGCACGATTATATAAATATTTTACATTTTGTATGTATGTATCATCTGAAAGTTGAAGACGTCATTTCAAAAATCATGGAAACAATATTAATTGAGATACACCCTGATCTCGTATCGTATGAGTTTTAATAATACGTTCTGCTTTTAGAAATGTTTGCAAAGAGTGAAATAATGCAAAAATAAAGTAATTTCATCGATTAGTCTCGTTAAAAATTTGACGACGTTCTTAATGAAAATGTTGAAAAATCCGATTTGACATATTATGGTTTAACCAGTCAAATGTTTCTCTCTTTCTTTCTCTTACAATTCTTTAATGTCTCATTGAATATTGGAGCTAAATGTTTCCATTGTTATACATTATAATATTAATTTCACGGACATTGAGTGACCAACCTCAGAGTGATTGATGCCTTGTGACTATCTCTACACCTCGTTGCAGTTTGTAAATTAAAGTTCAAGTAATTTAAAAACGATGCACAAACATATGATTAGATTTAGATAATATGGTAAATTTGTAACATTTGTGTCTTAGGAATTTGAAATTTTGAAACGTTAGCAGGTTTTTTTTCTGTTTTCAACGACAGATTTAGTTCGTTGCGTGTAATTGTTAAAATATGTTAGGAAATGTAATCGCATTAGCTCATACTGTCATGTTTCACAGGAACAACATAACACTTTATGTAAAATGCATTCACGACCTTTTTAGATCGCAGCAAGCCATGGAAATGTTGATAACTTGATAATTAAGTAAGCTAAAGTTCCTTGGGAAAGACTGACGACATTCTTGATGACTTGGGTTGTTACCTATTTAAGGTTATGAATTGTGTCAGAAATTTAATCATTGTTACCAGCTTAAATATCTTCAAGGAGCTTGTAAAAAGCAAAATTTAGCCACTTTTCCATAATTGTCCAGTGTAATTTTCAGAAAAATCATGTATTTTTTCCTTGTGGGTGTTTTGCAAGCCTAAAATTTTTTCTAGATGGCAAATCTATTATCTAAAAATAATTTATTTTAATTTTAACTACGACTCAAACTCAGCGTCCGATATTTCGTTGTATAAATATGAGCCGTCATTATCATTTTCTAATTCTGATTCTGAATCAGATTCTCCCAATGAAATAATGAGTGGCCATTTCTATTGAAACACAACTTGTAGATCGTAAACTTGGCAACGTTCATATTCAGATAATTTCCAATTAAAATCTTTCGCAATCAACCGAAAGCTGTTACCAAATTTTAAGCAAAATCAAAAATAGAAATGGTAAAGACAATTTGTTCCCAAACCATTTTTCCAATCAGCTGAAATAAGTTCTGTACAGTGTTTACTAAAATTTTGCCACATCTCTGGATTAAAGACGAAGAATTCTGTGCTTGTTATAGTAAGATTTTCAAAACACCCACGCCATTTTAATAGGTTTGACTACCTTCCAGGAATATCTCGGCTGTCAAAAACTCGTGTTTTTCGATCAGTTGTAAAAGGTTGAATTCAATCCCACAGTTATTTTTTCGAAAAATTTTGACAAATTCAATACTGTGGTTACCCAACTATTGCATGTGACTTTTTCTGCTACAAAATGTGGATGATTGTTCCAACTGCACCGATGGTATGGTACATTATCCAGTACCATCACACATTTTCGTTGCTACTTGTTTAAAACAGGAATAAGCTGATTAACCTCTGTCTTTATTTTTTGGGCCAAAATGATAACCCGCATGCAAGATGAAATCTTGAACCTTTTCAAATCTGAATTGTATACCCAACGACGAATGGAAGAACCGTTTTGATAAACCCATTTTTCGTCGAGTTTCGCATTGTTTATAAATACCTATGTGAGATGACAGCAAAAAATTTTGTAAACTACAAACAGGTTTCGTTGACGTGTGATGGATTTTTTTTCAACATCACAAATTGGATAAAAACGCTAGAATTTGGTCAATCTTACACAAAATAGTACAGTTTTTATAAATGATTCTGAGGGCGTAGTTGGTCATTTAAAGTCATCGTTTTTATTGTTTCAACGTTTTTCAAGTAATTCTTGTTGATCCAAGCTCAAAACAAGAAAACAGTCGTTTTTAAAACTCTTGGTGCTTGCGTACGAAAATTTTGTTTTTGTGTTAGGAAGCGAAGACCGTGAAAATGGTTTATTCTGTTAAACAAGACACTTTCATTGTTATGTCTCGTTATCGCAATGAGACATTCGTAAACAAAGAGTGGGTGTATTCTGCATTTATTCTGTAACCGCTTGTAAGCAAGAATATCTAGCCAAATACAGTGAATTAATAATTCAAGAAACATCGTTAGAGGCTCACATTACAGATGTAATCAACAGATTTTTTCGAACTGGCAGTGTCAACAAAGGGAAATCTCCTGGAAGACTTGAGCAGAATCCGCGAACATATTTGACAAGATTTCCTCAGCAGTCAGGAGTTTCTTATTTTTTATAAGATATGAAGTATTTAGGCAACCAGTTATACAAATGCTTGTGGTATTTGCCGTGCATTCTTGGGCATTTAATAAAGTCCAAAACTGAGAGTCGGCACGTTTTCATGACCTACTTCGACCCTATAATCATTTATAGAAACCCTGTATAAGTCTTACGAAAGGGGTTACTAGTTAAATTGGAGATGTTACTTCGCTTCATTCCGCCTCCAAACTTTTTCTTCGACCAGTAAACCACCCTAAGCGTTCTTAATACTTAACGTACGTTAGTAACGTTTACTGGCCCTATCCTAGGGCAGAAAGTAAAGTACTTAAAACCCTAGTAAAATACTTACAACCGGCCAATAATTACCGACAACATTCGCTTAAAGTCTTTATTGGATAAACACGAGAATTAATTATTAATATTAATATTTACTTTACAATTATTATACACAAGTCCAGTCTTTTTTTTTATTCACAAACAGTTGGCTTGCCCTTGGTCATTGTACTGCACGTCAAAACATTTTCATTCTCTGACACCAGGGAATTAATTGCATCCGATTTTAAAAAACTCTTCTGTTTCTTCTTCTTTTTCTCACAATCCTCTTCAATGTCGATCATTTTGAAAAATTGATTCTAAATCTCAGATTTTTTTTCGGGATTTTTTCTTATTTTGACACATTTTGTCTTACATGGTAAGGCGCCTATCTGGATAACCGTACTGTGAAAAAATGTAATGTAGAATTAATTTCAGAAAAGTCTTGTGTCGTCCTTATTAGAGGCAAGTTGGTTGTCACATGCTGAATCTGTTAACCTGTGTAACATATCTGGCAACATTTTTTAAGTCCGTTCATCCTCAGATATGGGACCTTTTTGAAGTACATGATTACATTTCAGAAGTGGAATATTCCTCCCATAATCCGGTTTGAAACTGATGATTTTATCTAAAAAAATTACAATTATTATTATTTG